CCATCATTTCCCTTTGTTCTCTGTGGGTTTAGGCAGAACGCAAGGAGGGGAACTCAGAGCCGAGTGAAGGTGGGCCCCGCAGAGCCCACTGCGAGAGGCAGTAGGGATGGGGCCGGTCCCATTCTCCTCTGGTTCCCCAGCTCTGTGACAGTGCAGATGGTGTCCTACAGAAGCGCATTCCTGTCCCTCCCAGCCGGATGCTGGGACCCCTCCTCTACTCTTTTTCCCACTCTCACCTCCCCACCAACACCTGGAGGCCTTCGTCCACTCCTCGGCAGAGAAGCCGGAATGTCTAGTAGGTTCCAGGTGAGACTCAGCAGGGCCAGGGATGGACAATATGGGGAGTCCAGGCTCAAGAGGAAGAGCCGGAGGGGTCCCTTGGACCGCTTCTGACCTGACTTTTGAACCCAAGCCTTGAACTTGAACTTGGAAGCCAGTGAAATAAGCACAGAACCCCGCTGAGAGCTGAACTCTTGTATGTATGAATATTCTCTCCCTTAATTGTATAGTTTACTGGGGCAAATGTGAGGCCAAAATGTGAGTCCTAGGTTGATGGGGGCTTCCCAGGTAGCTCAGCTGGTAAAGAATCTGCTTGCAACGCAGCAGCAGCAGCAGCAACGCAGAAGAGCCAGGTTCGATTCCTGGGTCGGGAAGTTCTCCTGGAGAAGGGATAGGCTACCTACTCCAGGATTCGTGGGCTTCTCTGGTGGCTCAGGTGGTAAGTCTGCCTGCAAAGTGGGAGAACTGAGTTTGAACCCTGGGTTGGGAAGATCCCTTGAAGGAGGGCATGGCAACCCACTCCAGTTTTCTTGCCGGGAGAATCCCCATGGACAGAGGAGCCTGGCGGGCTACAGTCCGTGGGGTCACAAAGAGTGGACACGCCTGAGTGACTAAGCGCAGCACAGCATAGCTTGATGGGACCCTGGGTCCCTCCAAGAGTCACAGGGCAGTTATGGGAAGGGAAGTTCCAAATGAAGGGAGAGGCAGTAATGGGCAGAGAGATGTTCCGGCAGTGTCTGGGAGAGGTGGCGACGGAGGAGAGGCTGCAGGAAGCTTGGCAGGGAGCAGAGATGAAAATGAACCCCGAGGAGCCTTTCACCCCGATACCTGAGCGATCCCAGCTGCCTCCACAGCTCCGATTTGAGTCCCCACCAAATTCTTCTAAAGACAATGGCTCCCGTGTGTGCCAGGCTCACTTACTTTTCAAGGGAATAAGGTAGGCCTCACAAGCTCAATTTTACAGATGAGGAAACTAAGACGCAGAGAAGTCCACCCCTTGGCCTGAGGTGCTGGGGGAGAGGCTGGGGGTGGGCGAGCGTGTGTGTGGCTGCTCTGTGGGGAGTGGAGCAGGTGCTCGAGCCTGCGGTGGGTGCAGGGATGAGCGAGATTTGCCTCAGGCTTTTTGCTCCCAGGGGACGCCTGGTGACAGAGCTGTAGCCAACTGCCCCCTGGCTGAGGGCCAAAGGCCTGCCGGGGCAGAGCACCCCGACTCCAGGGGCCTGGGTGCTGTGTGACTCGGGCCAGGTTGCCCGCTGCCCCGCGGGCTGTTTGGTCCTGAGACGAGGCATGGGTGTCTCTCTTTTTCTCTCTCACACACGTTCACAGGCACATGCACAGATCCAGCTTCACCCTCGTCCTTCCGGACCACCCCCTTTCACCCAGAACCTCCGCCCTGGCTCTCTGGTCCTCACTGCTCTCCTCTCCTGATATCACCATCCCTGCTGAGCTCAGGAGCGGGTCCCCGACTCTCTGGCCTTCCCCCCTCAGGTTGTCAGGGTCTCCCAGGCCTCAGAATTGGGGACTTAAGGCATACTACAGGGGGGACACCAGGGGCCTGGACAGTGAGGATTGGGGGGCAGGCTGCTCCCCAGGGAGGCTCCCCACCATTGGCCGAAGCCTCCTTCCACCTCATGGGGCAGCAGCAGCCACACTTCAATCCCCTTTCCCAACTCTGATCGAGGCAAGAAAAGGGATGGGGCGTGGCGGGGGGCATGGCAGAGGGAAGCCAGAAGGGAGAGGAAGCTGGCAGACCTCAGTGCGGAGAAAGGACACTCTGGGTGCTGAGAAGGGGGCATTCACTCTTCAATCTGTGCCCCGCTGCCCCTTCCCCCAGGTAAAGCACAGAGGACCCAGCGGGGGTTTCTATTTCAAACTCCTCCTTTATTTTGGACATTTGCTTGGTTGTGACTCCAAGTTATCAAAGATGCAGGACAAGAACTCTGTAGCAGGAGCAGTGGAGAGAAACGTCAGAGAGCAGGGGGTCCCTGCCTCTCCGCTTCCTCTTTAGGGTGCAGTTTGAAAAGTGTCCGAACAGTGTCCCAGAGCAGACTCAGCGGCTAAAAAGTACAGTGTGGTGGAGTGGGGTGAGCTTCCTCTTCCACAGGCAAGGTCCTCGCAGCTGCTGGGAGGCTGGCAGGCAGCCTCGAGGCTGTGCCCGGAGCAGTGTGGGGCGGTCGGGGCAGGGGGAGCCGTGGCCACCATCTCTCCAATGCCCCAAACTCAGATGTTGACTTGTGGGTTGATTGAGGCTGGGGAAGCTCTGGGAGGAGAGAGGGACTGTATGGAGATGCTTTTCACTCTGGGATCTCAATAGATGAGGGCCAAGAAGCACGTGAGAGTTGACTGGGTCTTGACTTCTCTGAAGGTGGGAGGTACTGGAATTTTTGGGGTAAGGAGGGACAGCCCCTGATGTGGTTGTGCAGCTGTAGAATCCCAGGGCAGCAAGGCGCTGGGGGTGGTCATCAGGAGGCAGCAAGGGTGGCCAGGCCCAGCAGCTCACGTCAACGGGTGTGCTTAGCCCAGGAAGCGCTGGCAGTGGGATGGGTATGGGGATGTGAAAGCCACTGTCCCTAAGCTGGTCCCTCCGGGCTCTCGGAGACAGAGCTGCTTACCCCCACTGAGAGCTGCTTCCTAGTAGTAGAGAACTTGAAGTCACCCAGTAGGAGAGTCAAACATGTTGGCTTTTTTCTGATGTTAAAATTGTTTCACCAGCTAATCCTGCAATGTACTGTGGTCTTGGATCCATCAACATGCATCCGTGCACACAGGATCAGGCAATTGGAAAGTGTATCCAGCCCCCTGCCAGGACTGGGGTGAGAGAGAGTGTGACCTGGTTGGCAGGACTTTTCAGGGAATCCTGGCTTTCTGGAGCACTAAAGGGCCCTCAGAGTCCATCTGGGTGAGTCCCATTTCCCTGGAGGAAATGGGGTCTCAGAGGAGATAAGGGACTGGTCGTCAGAGGACCCAGAGTAACCCAAGTGTGGCTAGACCCCAGGTACTCTGGCTCTCAACCCAGCGAGCCCTGATTTCAGATTGAGATGCAAGGTGACAAGTGCCCAGAAGGATGCAAAGGTGTGGCAAATTCTCTTCCCCTTCACCCCTCCCCCAGCTGCACCCTCCCTTTCTCAGATGCAAAAATCAAAATTCAACAAAAACCAGGCAAGGGGCCTGCTCCCTTCTTGTCCCACACACTGCAATGACTCAAGAGAGGTGGGGGTTACTAATGCCCTTAAAGGGGGAGTGGGCAGCCACCCCTTACGGCAACTGGGACACTCATCAGATGCAGCCACAAAACAGCATAAGGCCACAGCTGAGTTATATCTGGGATCTGGACTTGGGGCCAGAGCGACCCAGTAATAAACAGGCCCTCGTTCAGAGACTAGGGGTTGGGTCCGCAGAGGGATGGTGGCCAGTGTGGAATCTGCTTGCCGAGTCAAGTCTGCCCCCATCCTTGGAGCCAGCGCTGCCGTCCCTGGTGGGAAGGCGGGGTGCTGGTCTGTGGCCTCACGGCTGGATGCCCAGGTAGGACACTGGGTCTCCAGAGGGGCTTCCAAGCGGCAGCGTCATTTCACGGGAGACTCCACAGGTGCTTCTTGTAACCACCAGCTGGCTGCTGTGGCCGCCACCCTGATCACCTGTCACTCCCGTTGTCTGAAGGCAGACTTTTCTTTCTAGTTGGCACATCACTCTTCTGCTCTGCGGTTCCTGAAGGTGGCAGAGCCCTGGTATGCGCTGGTGGTGATGGTGTGTGTGCACACACCAGGTGGTAACAGGCCTGTGTGTACACACTTGGTGGTGACAGATGTGTGTGTGTGAATACACCTGGGAATGCACAGGTCCTTGCAGGGCCGCACTGAGGCACCACACTCAGCGTGGCAGACCAGGGCCCCAGACACCATGGGCAGGCTCTCCTTTACTAAACTACTCAAACTCTGGTAACAAAACTTGGAAAAGTTTCAACAGCTGGGACAGCTGGTTCCCAAGGCAGAGAAAGGATTTGTGGGGAGACAAGGCTAGACATCCATGTTGGGTGCATTCCCTGCGAATAACCTTATGTCATGGCCTTTAAAGTCCAGTCGCTATGTTCCATGAGGATGGGAGCAAATACAAGCATGTTCAGGAAGTAACATCGTGTTGGAACAGCTACAGGGACTGCAGTCTCTAGGAAGCTGAAGTACAAAACTAGATGGTGAACTAGCTCTTGGATTCATTGCGGCAAGCAAGTCCTGAAAAAGCCCTTCAATCCTTCCCCACCCTTCTCGAGTTCTGCCAAGGCCTCAGGTCTGGCTTCTCCCCTTGCCCTCGCCCCCCCCACCCACTTTCTCCTTTCATCCCCCAAGGACTTGGGAGACCTCTGGAGCCTTTGCTTAGCTGCCCCTGATGCTTCTGCTCCTCTCCTCAGAGTCTGGCAAAGCCAGGGGACAGAGGGAAGTGCAAGGGCTGTGGCCATGCTGGCCTGGCCAGAGGAAAGTCCCAACAGAGAAACCGGCCAGGCGGCCAACACGACCTGTCAGGCCCCCTTCCTCTGGGCCGTGGGGCCAGCCCCTGCCCTGGTACTCAATGCCCTCGACAGCCTGAATCCGGGTGAGCCTTCCACTGTGGGGCAAGGAGAGCCAGAAAAACAGAAGGTCCTCCAGGCTGTGGGAGGGGTCATCCTGCTGTCCCCATTGATGATCCTGGTGGGGGGCAGCAGTGTTGGGGGGGATCGGAGGTGAAAGGGGTTACACGTCTGTACTAATAGCCCTTGGATTGGTGAAGGCCTCGCGCCCAGAGCCTGGCCACGTCACCGGGTAACTCTGGGGCGCTGCCACTTGGAGAGATGGGGGTCCCCCCTCCTTGTAGTAGGTGGGAGCAAAGGAGAGCCTCTCGCCTCCACCCCCATTGGGCACCATGTCAGCCGTCCGTATGTAGAAGGGGGAGCTGTATGGGGAGCAGGCAGTGCAGTGGCCGGCCGCCACCCTGCACGGTTGGCCGCAGGGCTCGCCGGGGACAGGCGCCAGGCTGCCTCGGCCGTCCAGGGCCTGGGAGCTGCAGGCATTGCAGGTGGGGCCTCTGGGGTGTGTGGGCAGATCGTGCTCCTCCTCCTCTTCCTCGTCTGCATCTTCTGCTCCGCTCTTCTTGCAGCAGTAATACTGAGGAGAGAGAGAGGAGGGCTGCCTGAGGGCAGGTGCCCCCCTCTGGGTATGTGCAGACACCCATGCCCCTGCTCTGCCGAGGACCCCGCACAGGGCCCTTGGTCAACCCTGGAAACACAAGTCAACACCAGGCACCCACAGTCCATAGCGAAGTCCTCCCAGCCCCAAAAGATCAGTTCTTCTCACTTCCGCCACCTACTTCCTGTGTATTAACTCCAGGTGGCTGTTGAGAGGCTTCCCAGGTGGCACTAGGGGTAAAGAACCCACCTGCTAATGCAGGAGACTTAAGAGGTGCAGGTTCGATAGCTAGGTGGGAAAGATCTCCTGGAGAAGGAAATGGTACCCCACTCCAGTATTCTTGCCTGGAGAATCCCATGGACAGAGAAGCCTGGTGGGCTACAGTCCATGCGGTCGCAAAGAGTCGGACACGACTGAAGCGACTTAGCACGCACATGGTTAAGAGAAGCAGGGAGGCAGAGAGGGAGGGACATGCAGATTCTACTGAGCTCAGGCTGGGGTGCTGGGAGCTGCTTTCAGTTTCCCCACAGCGGTGTCCTTCCCACTAATCCTGAAATCTCAGACCTGCGGGAGACACCACAGAAAGACCTGGTGCTTTCCCAGCTCACTCTCTCGGCTGCCCAGAGTGTGCAGGCTGTGAGGGAAAGCTCCCTTCTGACCGCCCCGCAAGGTCCAGCATCCTCGACTTAAGCCTCCCACTTTCTGGGCTTGGGGCTTTGTCACCCCCACGGCGGGGAGGTGGTTTGCTGGTGGCCTGTGGCCCCGGGCACTGACCTGAAGCCTACAGTAGCACAGGACGGCAATGATGCAGAGGAGGATGACCGTAGCTAGGATTCCGCCAGTGATCACAACCGTTCCCGCTGTCATCCGCCCGACGCCCCATCAAACTCTGCAAAGACACGTGGGGAGAGGTGAGGGCAGCTGAACTTTCTCAGCTGGAGGCGTGGTGGGGAGGGGGGCACCTGAGAGCAGGGAGGGCCCCGGGGACTGGGACGCCAGGAGCTTCCTGCAGACAGAGCCGCCAGGCCAGCCTAACCTGGGGGACTTACAGCTGTGGGAGGGAAGAGAGGTGGCAGAGAGCTGACTGGGGGTGTAATTCTGCTCCCTGTTTCCATCTAGTTTCAAAGGTTCTTGCTGTCTTTCTGCTTTAATTCTCCTCTCCCCTCCCCCTACATCATGCTCAACCCCTGACCTTGGTCCTTCCCCCCACCACCCCATGGGACCAAGACACAGAGAATAAATAGCTTCTGTTTCTGAGGACTTAGCCTGTGTGAGGCACTGTGCTGAGCACTCCCCTGGTTATCTCAGTTAACCTTCAAAATCACCTTTCGAGACAGTTGTTAATTATCCCTGCTTTACTCACAATGAGCTGAGGCTCTACCTGATCTGGCTGAGATTCCACCCAGCCTGGTTCACCCCCAATGGCCAGGCTCTTAATTACGCCCTCTGGGGCACAAACACCCATGGTGCCCGAGCCCTTGACATAGGTGGAAGGCACAGGGTCTGAGCCTCAGAAGGTCCACTTGATTCTGCCCTGACTCCAAATAACCCATGTTTGGGTGACATCTCTCCTCTCCTTCCAACTCTTGTGGGAAACAAGGGCAAGGCGAGCTCAGAGGGAGCCGGCAGGCACATTCTGACTCCTGGAAGGTTGAGGCGAGGCTGGGGAGACGGGTCCTGCTGACGGGGGCTGGGTGGGGCAGAGGCATGCTCCGGATGTGAGGCTGTCTGAAGGCTGACTCCCCTTTCAGGTCACTAAACAAAGATTCTCGACCCCCCCCCCTCCCCAGGCACACAGGGGCCAAGGCTGGCTGTGCCAATGGAGCAGGAGGGTAGGAGGAGGCTTGGCATCTCGAGGACAGAATGATGGCAAGCACTTACGTTCATAAAGGGAACGGTGGCCTGCAAGACAGCAAAAGAGACGGAGATGATGTTAGAAGAACGTCATCCTGGAAAAGGACCCAAGGGTGAGATTAGTCCCTGGGCCCCACCTCACCTCACCTGGCTCTCCCATCTTGTGCTCTGTCATCAGGAGGCCCACTGGCCCCAGATCTGAGTCTCCAGCTTGCAGCTTGAACCCAGTTATGACAGTCATTACCCTCTCTTCCAGTGGGCTCCCCCACCTCTGCCGACCTCTGAGTTACTGGTTCTACTGGAGCTGCCACAGAGGGTTTTATAGGTTGTCTCTCTCTCAAAGGGCAAGCAGGGACTGGAACACCAGCTGCTCAGGAAGTCATGTGCCCCACTGTGTTCACCTAGGGAAGGGGCACCTTTCCTCACCCAGAGACACCATCTGCTCCTCACCACTGTGCTCCTAGAGCCCGGCAGGGACTCAGCACTGCTTCCAACTCACTCAGAGACGCTCACAGTGTGGTCTGTGGACCAGTCCAGGCAGCACCTGGGAGCTGGTTAGATACGTAGCATCTCAGGCCTCTCCACCGGCCAAAGGAGTCAGAAGGCCCCAGGTGATTATCTGCACATTGGAGTTTGACAAGGTTGTGGCCTATTCCCCTAGGTGCCCAGAGTTTCTTCTTTTAAAATGTTTATTTGTTGATAAATAAGCATTTATTTTTAATCTTTAAAATAAACGTTAAATGTTTATTTTAATAATAAATAAAAATCAATGTTTATTTTAAGCTGCGCTGGGTCTTTGTTGCGGCACACGGGCTTTCTCTAGTTGCGGAGAGTGAGGACTCTTCTTTGCTGCCGTGCGCAGGCTTCTCGATGCCACGGCCTCTCTTACTGCACAGCATGGGCTCCAGGCATGTCAGTTTCAGTTCAGTAGTTGTGGCACTCAAGCTTAGCTGCTCCGTGGCATGTGGGATCTTCCTGGACCAGGGATGGAACCTGTGTCCCCTGCGTTGGATTCTTAACCACTGGACTACCAGGGAAGTCCTCCAATTGTTTGGCTTCTTCCAGTCTTCTATTCTTCACACCAGTTATGACTATGTACCGCATCCCTGCACTGGTGCAATGGGTTCCTAAAGGATTTCACTGGTTTTGTCTTCACGTCACCTACAGTCAGCCCCTCACCATGCCCCTGCACCCCTCTTACTCCAGAGCCTTCCTGGCACCATGTTGCCTTCAGGACACATTTATCTGGGTGCAGACTTAATTTAGACTGAACTTCAGTGGCTTTTCCCTCCCCGACTTCCCTGCATGCTCACCACCAATTTATCTTTCCCTTCTCACTGCCCATTGTCCCCCCTTCCCCGCCACTCTGCAGGAATCCTCTGCCCATCAGATAGTCCCAATTCTTAAGACACGTATTGCCTAGTGATGAAAAGATACTTGATATACTTTATGAATCAGAGATGTGCAGACCAGGGGCTGTGAGAACACAGAGGAGGGGGCAGCTACCTACTTGGGGAAAAGTTCCAGAGAACATGTTATGTTCCATGAGCAGACTTCCAAACGCTGTGTGGGGGCTTGTCCTGCGGACAAGGTGCAGAGGGCAGAATGCCTAGTTCAGGAGTGTGAAAGGACACAGGGGTAACACACAGTTCTCGGGAACCGTAAGGATCCAGGAAGGCTGGGGGTAGGCATGAAGCAGGAGAGGCTGGAAGGCAGGCAAGGACATGGGATTTAAGCCCCATGGAGACAATGGGGGCTCCCGAAGGGTTTCAGTGGGGGAGACCATGATCTCTCACTTTTTCCATCTGTTTCAATTCTGCCCATCCTTCAAGGCTCTGAGAAGCCTTCCCCGACTGCCTCATCGTGATGCAATCTCTCTTTCTGCACTTCTACTCTAATGTCTTTCCAGGTGCCACTTTTCAAATCCTATCTTGCTGCAATGCTTGTCAACTTTCATGTGGGAACATTGTGACTCCTGCGCTACATTATGAGTCCTCTGGGGTCAGGAGTTGCAATTTATACTCTATCCTCTCCTGCAGGATTATACATAGTGCCTGGCACACAGCAGGCACTTAATAAAAGTAATCACTTCCCCATATGGGCTTCCCTGGTGGCTCAGATGGTAAAGCATGTGCCTGCAATGCAGGAGACCTGGGTTCGATCCCTGGGTTGGGGATGATCCCCTGGAGGAGGGCACGGCAACCCACTCCAGTATTCTTGCCTGGAAAAGCCCATGGACAGAGGAGCCTGGCGGGCTTCAGTCTATAGGGTCGCAGAATCCAACACAACTGAGCGACGAACACATACATATACATCCTTCCCCATATGGCGTTTCTTTTACAGGCCTGGCAGTAATGACCCTGATCGACCACCAGAGGGCAGTGTATCTCTCCACTCAAGTCTCATCTGCAGTCAGAGCATCCTTGTTGGAAACTGGTTTGACCGCTGAAATGTGTGCTGAACCATGCTTCAGGGTTCACTGGGGCGTTTGTTGGGAGGTGTGGTGCAAAGGTGAACCTCAGCCTTGGGAGGACTTATACACCATCACAACAACATCACTCCTCCTTCTCCTGCTTCACTGGCCTGCTCACCCCTGAGGTGGCTCAAGAGACAGAGAGGGAAACAGATCGCCAGTCCAGGTTGGATGCATGAGACAAGTGCTCAGGGCTGGTGCACTGGGAAGACCCAGAGGGATGGGATGGGGAGGGAGGTGGGGGGGGGTTCAGGATGGGGAACACATGTAAATCCGTGGCTGATTCATGTCAATGTATGGCAAAAACCACTACAATATTGTAAAGTAATTAGCCTTCAATTAATAAAAATAATTGGGAGAAAAAAAAAAAAAGAGAGAGCACAGAGGCCTAGCAAGCGACCAGAGGTTGGAGGAGGCAGCAGTGGCCCACTCTCCTGAAAGTCTTGGCCTGGTCCCCCGGGATATGCCCAGGCTGCTTTAGGAAGCAGGGAATTATGAAACCACACAGGAAGAGCGCCCTTCCTTCTCTGGCCTCCACCTTTCAGCACCGTGAAGACTGCAGAGCAGAAGTGTCCTGGAAAGGGGAGCCCAGCAGTGCAGGTGGAGCCATGGGGCTGAAGGCCCATTCAAAGCCCAAATGTGCCACTTAGCAGGCACCCCATCTTGGAAGCTGGCCTTCTTTTTCATTTGTAAAAGAGAAATTACGAAAAAATGCAGCTTACGAGTATGACTGTGAATAAAATGATTTACATGTACTACGGCCCCTTGTAAACTCTAAGATACCCTTCACACATGGTTCTATGTGCAGAAAACGGAGACCCAGACATTCTGTGACTGCTTAAGTCTGGCCTCAAGTCGTAAACCAAGAAGGGACATGTAAAGTTCATGTAGTCAGCTAGCCAGGTCCCTGCCAACCTCCTGGATGGTCCAGTCCTGGTGGTGCAGCTTAGCATTTCAATTCCCACCCCCACAGGCTCTTTATGATTTCAGCTGGGCTTATTTTCTCTTTGCAAATAGATGTAAATAATCACAACAACACTGAACCTAAAGAGCTTTCGTTCTACAGTTTACAGTAAGTCTGAAATGGCGACCCACTCCAGTACTCTTGCCTGGAAAATCCCATGGACAGAGGAGCCTGGTAGGCTACAGTCCATGGAGTTGCAAAGAGTCAGACATGACTGAGCGACTTCACTTTCTTTCTTTTTCTTTTCTCCTACATACAAATGCCTTCTGTTCTGAGAGCACAATCATTAAGTCCAATTTGTTTGTTAAGTCCAACAAAGTTCGCCTAGGTACCCAACTAACACAACTGGCTATACAGTGAGTGAGTGAGTGAAGTCGCTCAGTCGTGTCCAACTCTTTGCGACCCCATGGACAGTAGCCTGCACCAGGCTCCTCCATCCATGGGATTTTCGAGGTGAGAGTACTGGAGCGGGTTGCCATTTCCTTCTCCAGGGAATCTTCCCAACCCAGGGATCGAACCCAGGTCTCCCCCATTGTAGACAAACGCTTTACCGTCTGAGCCACAGTGTACTGCAATAGGTTTGTAAAACTTTTCACACAAACAATACGTAAAAACAACACAAAACATTTTTAATCTTACACTAGAGTACCTTGAAAAGTACAGTGGTACAACAGCTGGCATTCGGGGACCAGGCAAGAAGAGTTACTGGCTGGAGAAGGAAGAGGAGATGGGAGACGGTAGAGCTGAAGGACTGTCAACAATAGGACACGGAGGGCAAGCTCCAATTTCACTCATGCCTGATGTTCATCACACAGGTTTTGGTTCCTTGCTGGATTCAATTCTATCTGTTGTTCAGTCACTAAGTTGTGTCTGACTCCTTGCGACCCCATGGGCTGCAGCACACCAGGCTTCCCTGTCCTTCACTATCCCTTGGAGTTCACTCAAACTCATGTCCATTGAGTCGCTGATGCCATCCAACCATCTCCTTCTCTGCTGCCTCTTCTCCTCCTGCCCTCAGTCTTTCCCAGCATCAGGGTCTTTTCCAATGAGTCAGTTCTTCGCATCAGGTGGCCAAAGTATTGGAGCCTCAGCATCAGCCCTTTCAGTGAATATTCAGGGTTGATTTCCTTTAGGTTTGACTGGTTTGATCTCCTTGCTGTCCAAGGGACTATCAAGTCTTCTCCAGCATCACAGTGTGAAAGCATCAATTCTTCAGCACTCAGCCTTCTTTATGGTCTAACTCTCATATCTGAACATGACTACTGGAAAAACCATAGCTTTGACTATATGGACCTTTGTTGGCAAAGTGATGTCTCTGCTTTCTAATATGCTGTCTAGGTTGGTCATAGCTTTTCTTGTAAGGAGCAAGCGTCTTTTAATTTCATGGCTGCAGTTACTGTCCAAGGTCATTTTGGAACCCAAGAAAATAAAGTCTGTCACTGTTCCCATTTTTCCCCTGTCTATTTGCTATGAAGTGATGGGACTGGATGCCATGATCTTTGTTTTCTGAATGTTGAGTTTTAAGTCAGCTTTTTCACTCTCCTCTTTCACCTTCATCAAGAGGTTCTTTAGTTCCTCTTCACTTTTTGCCATTAGGGTGGTGTCATCTGTATATCTGAGGTTATTGATATTTCTCTCAGCAATCTTGATTCTAGCTTGTGCTTTATCCAACCTGGCATCTCTCATGATGTACTATGTGTATAAGTTAAATAAGCAGGGTGACAATATACAGCCTTGACATATTTCTTGATCAATTTTGGACCAGTCTGTTGTTCCTTGTCTGGTTGTAACTGTTGCTTCTTGACCTGCATACAGGTTTCTCAGGAGGCAAGTAAGGTGGTCTGGTATTCCCATCTCTTTAAGAATTTTCTACAGTTGGTTGTGATCCACACAGTCAAAGGCTTTAGTGTAGTCAGTGAAGCAGATGTTTTTCTGGAATTCCCTTTTTTTTCCTATGATCCAACAGATGTTGGCAATTTAACCTCCAGTTCCTCTGCCTTTTCTAAATCCAGCTTGTACATCTAGTTCTTAGTTCACATACAGTTGAAGCCTAGCTTGAAGGATTTTGAGCATAACAGTGAGTGAAATAAGCGAAATTGTATGGTAGTTTGAACAATCTTTGGCATTGCCCTTCTTTGGGATTGGAATGAAAACTGATGTTTTCCAGTCCTGTGGCCACTGCTGAGTTTTCCATATTTGCTGGCATATTGAGTGCAGCACTTTAACAGCATCATGATGATTTGCCTAAAGTCATATAATAGCACATGTCTGAGTCAGGACTGAAGGGCCAGTGCTGTGGAGTTTCTGCCACATCTCTTGCCTGATTAATTTCCTGAGGGTTTGAGAAGAAGGTCCCTATGTACCCTCGCAGGGCCTGGACAGAACGGATTCAGTGGAGACCAACTCAGGGGCTGAGGGCAGCCAAAGAGAACGAAAGCTGTTGCCAGCTGCAGAGCCCCGGGCCCGCCCTCTGTGACCAGGACTTTCTGGAGCTCCCTTTCCACCAGCACCTCTCTCCACCCAGCACCCAGGCACCTTCTCCCATGCCTCACACTTACGTGAACCAGCTGGACCAGTGACAGCCCAGTCACGCCGGCTGTGCCTGAGCAGACAGCAGCTGGGGGCGCATCATGGCCAAGGGCATCAGTTCCTGCCAGAGAAGGGAGGGGAAGAAGGTCAGTGAGAGCTGGAGGGGAGGCTGAGAGGACAGACGGGTACATGCTGGCACCTGGCTGTGACCCCAGGACTCTGGAGTGGACACCCCCAAGGAGGCTTGTTTCCGGACCTCCATGGCTGCCTGGGTCTGAGGCCTCCCCAGCCTGAGAACCTAGGCTCAGACCTCTATGGCCACATCCTATCCCAGCCTCGTTTCCTTCCTTCGTGTCACTGGAACCTGTCCTTCCACTGCCTGGAACCCTCTGCCTGACGCAGCATCAGGACAAGAGCAACCTCCTGCTCTGGGAAGCGAGGCTCAATGCGAAAAGGGAGTCCGGCTCCTCTTTCATGCTCCTGCTGGAGAATGCTGCCCTGTCCCCTGGCGGACATGTCCCTTTTGGCTGCATAGCCGATCTCTCTCACTCTGGCCCCATATACTTCTTTCCCATCCCCTTACCCCATTCTTTCCTGGAACTGTCTGTATTCCTAGTGCCCAGAGCTGCTCACACCTTTCTCTTACTCCAATACTCCGACTCCTCTGGCCAACATGCCAACTAGACACTCGGATGGATAAGTTCATGCTGACATGCTGATGGAGGTGGAGGAGGTGAGACCCACCGAGGAATCCAGTGCAGGCAAATTATTGGGTATCCCTTCAAGCCAAAATTCTTTATCCACTCAACCTTATTTAGAGGAGCATCTGGGCCCGACTTAGGAATGGGATATGGGGGGTGGTGGAGAGAGGAAGGGAGCCCCCGATGGTGATGCTGGGCTGCTGCTCACTGTCCCGAGGAGAACCTTCTCTGCTGGGTGTGTGTTTTTATTAGGGAGGGAACCTAACCATGAACGGGATGTGCTGAGCCACCTTCCATGGGGACAGAGCTGATAACCTCCAGGATCTCTGGCTTAGCAGGAAGCTGGAGGTCAAAGCACAGACATTTTCATGCCTCAATGACTGGCACCTATCTGAGTTCAGCAGGTCTCAGGAACAGAGCTCCCAGAGAAGTTGAGAAAGCAGTTGGTCACCTGCAGAGGTGCTCCATCCCTGCCTTCACCTCCTTCTAGATCTAGGCCTTAGCAATGTCTTCAGTGCCTGCCTTGGATGTTCTGGACACTCAGGCTTTCTCTTCTAAAAGATGTTTTCACTCATATGAAAATGTATGTTGTGTGTAGCTGGATGTCAGAGTGGGATTCTTCCCACCTAAGTATTGACTGAGATGCCAATGGGTTGACATCAGAAGACTGAAATGAGTTTGGAATAGGTCTCTCCTCCCTGGTCATGTGCAGGGAAACATACATGGGGATGCAAATCTGCTTCAGGATGCATGTTGTTGTTCAGTCGCTAAGTCATGCCAGACTCTTTGTGACCCCATGGACTGCAGCATACCAGGCTTCCCTGTCCTTCACTGTCTCCTGGAGTTTGCTCAGATTCATGTTCACTAAGTCAGGATTCATGAGTGCTTTGTAAAAGAGAGATGGGTCAATAATCTGGTGAAGATTTGGTGAGGAAGATTTCCTTGGCAAGAGCTGTGGCTGAGCCATGAATCTCTCACTCCAACCAGCAAAAGAGACAGGAGGGCCATGGAATTGGCAGGCCTTGTTGTCTAGAATCCTGCCCAATAGTGCCACCTGGAGGCATGAAAAGACCCCAGTTGAGGAGGCCACAGGTGGCCTCCAGATGCCCCAGGGGCTGAGCAAGGAGTTGCCAAGAAGGCCAGGAATAGAGATGATGTGTTTGCCTGGGCTAAGTGCCCATCAGGGAACCTCAGAAAAGCCTCAGAAAGCATTCACAAAAGCAGGAACCAGTCTAAAGCTACTCTCTGTCCTTTCCTGCTGCTGCTGCTGCTAAGTCGCTTCAGTTGTGTCCGACTCTGCGACCCCATGGACTGCAGCCCACCAGGCTCCTCTGTCCATGGGATTTTCCAGGCAAGAGTACTGGAGTGGGGTGCCATTGCCTTCTCCCTCTGCTCTCTAGCCAGGAAGAATTCTCCATTTCACAGCAGCTCTTGAGGATAGTGGGAGGGAGGGGGAGCAGGGGGAATGTAGACAGCAAGGGATTTTGCCCAATGCCCCAACTACAGCAGATCCAAACTGGAGGATAGGAGAAGAGTAATGCTGTTGGATGGGGAGTATTTTGATTATCACGCATGACTGACACTCTAATTTATGAGTTGAAACTGTGTCTATAACTTAGAGTGACCATGAGACTATCACCTAGGAGGGAATGAAAAAGCAATGGGCCTGGCATAAGGGCAGGGGCAGATTTCTCCCACTGAATACATTTTAAACTAAAGGGATACTTGATCATATACCATATACCATGATCAAGTGGGATTTATCCCAAGGATGCAAGGATTCATCAATATACATATATAAATCAGAGTGACACATGACATTAACAAACTGAAGAATAAAAACCATACAATCATCTCAGCATATGTAGAAAATTTTTGACAAAATTCAACACCCATTTATGGCAAAAATTCTCCAGAAAGTGGACACAGAGGGAACATATCTCAACATAGTAAAAGCTATATATGACAAACCCATAGCTAACATCATTCTCAAGGGTGAAAAACTGAAAGCATTTCCTCTAAGATTAGGAACAAGACAAGGATATCCACTCTCACCTCTTTTATGCAACATGGTTTTGAAAGTCCTAGACACAGCAATCAGAGAAGAAAAAGAAATAAAAGAAATTCAAATTGGAAAAGAAGGAGTAAAACTGTCACTGTTTGCAGATGATGTGATATTATCTATAGAAAATCCTAAAGATGCTACAAGAAAACTACTAGAGCTCATTTATGAATTCGGTAAAGTTGCAGGTTACAAACTTAATACACAGAAATCTATTGCATTTCTATACACTAAAAATGAAAGATCAAAAAGAGAAATTCAAGAAACAATTCCATTTACCAGGCATCGAAAAGAATAAAATACCGAGGAATAGAGCTAGCTAAGGAGACAAAAGACCTGTACTCTGAAAACTATAAGGCACTGATGAAAGAAATAAAAGATGACACAAACAGATGTAGAAATACCATGTTCTGGGATTAGACAGATTAATACTGTGAAAATGACTATACTATACCAAAGCAATCAATAGATTCAATGCACTCCCTATCAAATTACCAATAGTATTTTTCACAGAATTAGAATAAACAATTTTACAATTTGTATGGAAACAAAATAGAAGATCCTCAATACCCAAAATAATCTTAAGAAAGAAAAATGGAGCTGGAGGAATTGGCCTTCCAGATTTCAGGCTATACTACAAGCTACAGTAATCAACAGTATGGTGCTGGCACAAAAACAGAAATTAGATCAATGGGACAGAATAGAAAGTCCAGAGATAAACCCATGCACCTATGGTCACCTAATCTATGACAAAGGAATCAAGACTATACAATGGACAGAAAACAGTCTCTTCAACAAGTGGTGCTGGGAAAACTGGCCAGCTACAAATAAAAGAATGAAATTAGAATACTCTCTAATACCATACACAAACTCAAAATGTATTAAAGATCTAAATGTAAGGCCAGAACTATAAAGCTCTTAGAGGGAAACATAGGCAGAACACTCTTTGACATAAATTGCAGCAAGATCTTTTTTGATCCACTTCCTAGAGTAATGAAAATAAAAGCAAAAATAAATAAATGGGACTAATTAAATTTAAAAGCTTTTGCACAGCAAAGGAAACCATAAACAAAATGAAAAGAATAGGAGAAAATATCTGCAAACTAATTGACCAACAGGGATTAATCTCCAAAATATACAAACAGCTCATGCAACTCAGTATCAAAAAAACAACACAATCAAAAAATGGGCAGCATTTATGTATGGTAGAAACCAACACAAATGTTATAAAGCAATTATCCTCCAATTAAAAATAAATGAATTTTTGAAAAATGGGCAGAAGATCTAAACATACATTTCTCTAAAGAAGATACAAGGAAGCTGAAAATCACATGAAAATGTGTTCAACATCCTAATTATTAGAGAAATGCAAATCAAAACTACAATTAAAACTATCATCTCACATAAATTAGAATGGCCATTAACAAAAAATCTACAAATGATAAATGATGGAGAGGGTGTGGAAAAATGGGAACCCTCCTACACTGTTGGTAGGAATGTAAATTCATATAGCCATTATGGAAAACAATATGGAGAGTATTAAAAATCTAAAAACAGAACTACCATATGACCCAGCAATCCCACTCCTGGGCATATACCCAGAGAAAAGACATAATTCAAAAAGGTACATGCATTGCTATGTTCATAGCAGCACTATTCACAAAAGCCAAGACGTGGAGACAACCTAAGTGTCCATCAAGAGAGGAATGGATAAAGAAGATGTGGTACATATAGATAATGGAATATTACTCAGTCATCTGTTGGTGTTATTTAGTTACTAAGTTAAGTCTGACTGTGAGACTCTATGGAGTCCACCAGGCTCCTCTGTCCATGGGGTTTCCTAGGCAAGAATACTGGAGTGAGTTGCCATTTCCTTCTCCAGGGGATCTTCCTGATTGAACCCATGTCTTCTGCTTGGCAGGCGGATTCTTTACCACTAAGTCACCTGGGAAGCCCTTACTCAGCCATAGAAAATAACAAAATAATGCCACTTGCAGCAACACAGATAGACCTCACGGTTGTCAGAGAGTAAAGTAAGTTAGACACGGAAAGACAAATACCATACCATGTCATTTATATATATAATTTTTTTAAAAGAGTACATACAAATGAATTTAATTACAAAACAGAATCACAAATGTAGAAAACAAATTTATGGCCACTAGGGGATGTGAGGGGAGGATAAACTGGAAATTGGGATTGACATATATACACACTCCTATATATAAAATAGATAGCTAATAAGAACATGCTATATACCATAGGGGACTCTACATAATACTCTGTAATGAACTATATGGGAAAAGAATCTAAAGACCCTTTGCTGGAAAAGACTGAAGGCAAAAGAAGAGGGCGGCA